TTTGTGGTGGTGGTGGTGGTGGTGGTGGCGGTTGTGTGTTTTGTGGAGAGGTGGGAGAGGGTGCGTGCGTAGAAGGTTTCCCAGCTACATTGATTGAAATAGTGTGTTAGTAGGGGGTTAGGTGTTGGTTTGGGGGTATGGTGGTCGAAATAGGGAATTTGGGTATGGTGTATGAGGGGTAGCGGGGTAGAGTGGATGAAAACTTCGTTGGTTTTCATATGTACTCCGGATGGATGCTGATGTTGGCTGCTACTACTCACTAGTCTTTTGTGCCTAGTTCGCTAGGCGACAGATGCGCCGGATGGCTGTCGTCGGCCATATTGTCAGACTGTTCTCGTGTTCTGACTGAGGCAGTTTGGCTGTGTCGAAAATTCACAAGTCTAACCCGCATGACGTTTCAGTAGGTTCAATGCCAGCCGCTCGGCACTCGGCCCGCTTTAAACCCGCTACTACAAAGTAAACTCCATACAAACTACAAACTACACTACATACATTGCTACTGCTACTGGTATATGTTCTTGTTAACTTGATTCAATCACTAGCCCCAGGGTATTTCGCAGCTGAAATGCCAATATCGACAACACAGAATGAGTGGACGAATACACAGGGTGCATCACAAACGAACAGTAATAATATTACAAGTTACCAGGCAACTCTTCGCCGCCTTTTATCATCTTTTTAACACCCAGGACGCCGGTTGACCAAACGCATGCAATGTCGACGCACGGCCTTGAATGCAACATGGGCCGCTGGTTGACCAAGGGAATGAAATTGCACAGTGGCAGATGTATGAACGAAAGAATAACGACCGTAAGCCCGCTTTGGTCATCAAGTCATCAAATCAGGAGAAAAAAAAGGGAAATGGTAGAAGCGAATAGAAAGAGAAAAATGCCACCACAGCTGAAAGAGAGAATGACGGTAGATCAGTAGATCATAATGAAAGCTGTAGAGATGGGACAAGGTCAACACGAGTAAACCTCAGGTGTATATGGTCATGGAATCATTTCTTGGACGTAGCTCCCGGAAGCCCGTCCTCAAGACAATCTGTCTTGGACATTATGGCAGAATTACAGAAACTCATCAATATTCCTCATGATCAGGCGCTCATTGCCTGGAGGCGGTGATCGAGGGTCTGCAACTCGCGACCCAAACCGCAGCCCGTGGGGACCGTCGTCCTCGAGGCAGTCGGCAATAGAACGCGAAAGAGGCGGGGCAAGAAATCCAGTCGTTCTCGGCGAGAAAAGCGAGTTCATTCCATCTGGCATGTCTTGCACGAAGACGTCCGTCTTAGCCAGAGAACATGGCCCGCCTTCGGGACGCCACGAAGGCGCAGTATATTCGGGTTGTAAAGTTTTGCCCGTCGGCCCCAGGTGATATGTAGCCTGCCGGAAGGGCAGTGGCCGGGGAGACAAGCTGCGCTTGTGTGAGAGCGACTGTGAGAAGCCTAAATTCTCTATCGACAGAGGCGTCGTCTGGTTAGACGACACCGATAGAGAGCTCATCGACGACTGCGAAAGGCCGTTGGACGAAGCTGGCTCCGCATCCGAACTGCCACTGAGAAAGCCCGGCGTGCTGGCTTCCGAAACATCTGTCCTGGCTGTTTGGGGTGGCTGAGGCTCGGAGCATCTGCGCGCCCCGCCGACAAACCACTCCTCCGGGGCCGCTTTCGAAAGCTTGCCGCGGAGTAGCCGAGAACGAAAGTCCGTCAGCTGATAGATCAGACTCATGTTGGGGCTGACCCAGCGACTACGTTCTTTAACAAGCTCGTAGACCGAGTTAAAATCCAACTGTCGGTTTTTGTAAAGACCATAGGCGATGACCAACGATGCCGATCGACTAGCACCCAGCTGGCAGTGGATGAGTACCTTTTTACCTTCCGAGATGCGAGAATCGATCAACTCGCAAAGCGGGAAAAGATCATCCAGAATCTCGGAGTTGTGGTCCCAACCGACGTGGACATATTCCGGTCCAGACGAGTCCTTCTGAGGTGTGGCAGGCGAAGAGTCGTCATTTTGGGGGAATTCAAAGGCAGACTTGAAGGATGCATCGGACATGGCCGTCCACGGTTCTCCAGTCGACAGTCGCTTCGTACTTGCCGACCCATTGCGCAAGGTGCTGACCACCGTGCCAGTGCTACCAGCAGTCGCGGTGAACGGATTTGCCACCTCCTTGGCCACATTCACGACCACATCGAAATGCGAAGCTTCTTGCGCGGTCGGCTCCAGGTACAGAAAGACGCCAGAGTCATAGATTTGGATCGGTCCATTCGGATAACCTCGCTCGTTGCGCCGCGTCGACTCTCTCGAGTCGAGGTGGTCATCCTCCTCTTCCAATTCATGCAGCACTCCCGATCCTTCGTCGGGCACCGTTTGCAGAGGGGAGAGGTTGCTCTCTGACGCACCCGACGGTCGCCGGGCACCATGATGGGTCATCGGTCGGGGCAGTTGCATGCCACCCTTCGGGCCGAATGATGGAGAAAACACAGACGTGAGGGACGGGGAGGACTCGGTATGGCGCAAAGCGTGCGGGGTCGGCGGCACATCGTTACCGTTGCTTGAAAAGGACCGATCAAACCCAGGAGTGCGGATCGTAAGATTGGCGGGCTTGCGGCGCATGCCCTTCGGTGGTACATGGATTGGGGAGGGCGGGGCGGAAAGATGGTGCTGGGAGGTGGTTTCTACGACAGAAGCCGTTGCAATAGGCGGGCGGGACCCTTGCGATGGCAGAGGCATTCTCAGAGAAAGATTCTTGAGGTTGCGTGCGCGCCTGCCGGGGGAGTCGGGCCGTGCGACATTTTGGCTATCCGTTGACGGTTTCAAGTCGGTGGTCGGAGCCGCCGAGTGCGTTTGGCACTCGGCCTTGTGGGCAAGTGGCATAAAGGTAGGATATGATAACGGCATGGATGACGGAGATTCAGGCGAGGAGCTCGGGGAGGTATCCACGGCCGAAGGAGGATCGAAGGTGGAGATGGTGGTGGTGGGCGACGAATCAGTGGAGCCTGATGTCATCGATGATATACTTTCGCGATGTTGAAAGGGAAGTGGGCGTCGCGATGTGTTGACTGTGACATTGGTCGGAACCCTAAGTGGTTTGACGAGTGAAGTTCGGTCCTTCGTGTCGGGGAACTCGGGCGACCTCCCAAACACAGACATAAAAGAAGGGAACGAATCCGGGGCTGACGGTGAGCTGGTTTGCACAGGCATCGTGAGGCCCGGGGAGGGTGGAGATGAGGAGGTACACCTGCGTTTGAAAGGGGATACCCTCTCAGGATCGCAGCTGCTATAGATCGCTGGCGCAAATAATGTAGCCGTAGCACAAGTATTGCCACCAGCCCGGGGAAGACAAGATAGAGTCGCACTTGCTACCAGCGCAAATGACCTTTTGGACAGAGGACAATCAGCTTCCATGTTTCAGCTTATGTTGACCTTCGATGGTAGAGAGGCAAGCACGGCTGCAAGGAGGGTGAAACCAGAATGGCGATCGGCCAGCTTGAAATGAAACCACGAGAGCTACCGGCGGTTGTAAGAGAACCAGGGGAGAAGCAGCAGCAGCAGATGATGGATAGAAAGATAGGACGAAAGCCATTCACAGAGGGGTCCCAACAAGGTCCGAGACTGGGAACATACCAAGGAATGCCGCAAGAGAACTGTTGCCTCTTTATTTGGAGGAAGTTGTCAGTGATAGGCGTAAAGGATTGTTATTGATAAACGTCAACGGGAAGCAACAACGGCGACATGGATAGAAAGTCGAAATCGGAATAGACAATTGAGATAAAGGAGGGATTGACAAGAACCAGAAAAGAAAATAGAAAGAAAAGAATAAGCAGAGAACCAAGGGGGGTGGAGGTTTTCTGGAAAGTGATGGAGGGCACAATGCAACTGGGAGGAATAGCCGCCCGGTGATTGTGTGGGCAGTCGTTCCTCCGGGGAATGACGAAAGAAGCAGCAGTTGTGGGAGGGTCTCGGTCACAGAGAAGAAGAGGAGAGGGAAGGGAGCAAAGAACGACTGCCCACCCACCCAAAAGAAAAGAAAAGCAGACTTGTGGATAAAGAAGCAAGTCCCTGTGATGAGGAGGGGGGGGAAGGGAGAGGGGGTTTAGTTTTTTTGGTGAAAAAAGAAAAAAAGGAAGGAAAAGGAAGGTAAGAAGAGGAGAGGGGGAAAAGGTAGAAGAGGGGAAAGGGAAAAGAGGAAGATCGAGGGTGAGTCGAGCCAGCCAGAAAGGAAGGGAAATGAGCGAAAGAGAGAGTAGTAAGAGAGTGAGAGGGAGAGTAGCGAGCGCGTAGTAAGAGAGTGAGCGCGCGAGACAAAGTGAGAGAGAGAGAGTGAGTGACAGAGCACGAAGTACTACTAGACTAGAGCCAGTCTGTCTGTCTGTCTTCCCGATGGCAGGCACCACAGCAGCAAACAACAGTAACCGCAACAGCAGCAGCACAAGCAGTAAGTTCTTTTTTAGTGGCGGCAGTCACAGCAACGGCAGCAAATAATAAGCAACCGAACCCACCCGAGCGCTAAGAATAAACCACCGCACGGTATGGGAAAAGACGCCGTGACTTGCCAGACTTGCCAGACTTGCAACAGAAAAGACAAAAGTAAAATGGTAGCAGTTCGTTTTGGGACGGGAAAGGGAAAGGGCGGATGTCCTGATTGGGTCCGGCCGGCCGTGTTGCTGTCAGCCAGCCAATCACCAGCGTTTACGCTGTGAAAGTGGATACCCAACAGCCCCATTCAGCCAGTTGGTACCACCCAATCAACGCCCGGTCGAAGCAGAACATCCAGCGCCTGCAGCTCTAAATTTAGCCGCCCGGGTTGGTGTGCAAAGGCTGGAATGTGCATCATGGGCGCCAAAAGCACGCAAATCAGATGCCAGATTCACCCCAACACCGGCATGTCAGAGCCACCCCATCCCAGCATCCTCCTCCTCTTCCTTCCCTTTCCACCCCTCCAGCCTGGTCGTGGCAAGTAACCACTCAGGTTGGCCCCATCGCCCGGGGGATGAAGGGAACGGAAGGAATTGGATGGGAAAAACTGGGAAAGGATGGCCGAGTGGGTAAGGTTCCGATACGGCGACAAGGGGGGTGGAGAACAGTCATGAAAATCAACTGGGGGTTCCTCTCCAGCATCATGAGTTGCAATCGTGACGGGGCATTTTCTTTTGGGGTCTCTCTGTGCTCTCTGTGCTCTCTCTTGCTCTCTCACTCTCTCTCTCACTCACGCTCGCACTCACACTCTCAATCAATCTTTCAATTCCTTTCACTCCCATTTCCCATATCTGAGATCTGGCAGACTCTGTCGAGGTCTCCCCATTTCCACTTTGAGGTCCTCATCGGAGAAGTCCAGATGCAGGAGAAAAGCATTCGATTGACTGGAAAAGGAAGGTAAAGGGAAAAAAAAGAAAAGGTAAAATGGTCTCCACAATAGGGTGCCACTGGGAAGGCCGCAAACGATAGTTGGTCCAGGAACAAACCAACAGAGGCAGTGAAGTGCGATGGGGGGACTAGTGTGAAAGGACCCAGAGATGACATAAACCCAAGAAGAAGAGGAAAGCAGCAACGTAACCGGAACATGGACGATAATAAAAATCACAATAATAATTGAATAAAAATAAAAGCTGTATACATACCTGTAGAGCTCTTCCTCTTGTTTGAAGGAGATGGTCCGTTCAGCCTCAACAAAAACCGGAGTGAGGCTTGGGATCAAATATGCCGGTAAGAGTAGTGACTCCAGAAAGAATTTCAATCCGTACACCGGGCAAACAATTGTAGAGCTCGTAGCGACGGTAGCTCCGGGCGTACAGCGATAAGGAGTGTGGACAATCGGTCAGGGTAGAAGAAGATCAGAAGAAAAGAAATGGTTAAGAAGACTTCCAGAAGTCACACAGAAGAAAATACTGTCTGTTTAACCCACGAGGGTAGTAATAATCAGACAGACCCGGCAGGATACGTATCCAAGCAACCTTCTGCACACACAACAATAATAATACCGTATTTGGGGAGGTTGTCCGACCCGCTGGGGGAGTGCACGGTTCGCGCAGAAAGGTTGTTTGCTGGATGCTTAATCAAAGGGTTCTTTGTGGTCAAGCCGGCTTGAGAGAGAAGACAACAACGAAAAGAAGCAGGAAAAAAGCACGGGCAACCCCCTCCAAAACAAACCGGACGAGAAAGCAGACTGCAAGAGATCAGAACTTAAGAGAACACACAACTTTGAGGGGTAGAATCGCTTTTTTACTAGATGCGGATGGCGATTCAGCAGGGACCTCTCTCTGGCATCGAGCCTATGAGAAACAGGTAACGGCGCGGAGGGTCACAGGCTAAGGTGAAACGCAAAGGCTGACTTGACTGGGGCTAAGTTGAAGCGATCCACCTTCCCAGACAAGCCCCTGGAAACGGTGGACCGTCCGTTATTGGCAGTGTGGGACGAGGAGAAACCGCGGCACGGTTGGTGCTTAGTACTCCGCCGCAACGAAAAGAGAGGTCGGATTCTGCTTTTTCTTTTCTTGAACGGGATGATTTGTTGTGGTTCCTTCAGCAGGATGTATCATCTCACTGTTTCAACCGGCGCGCTCGACAACCGCAGTCCCCGTATCAACCATCTCGGAAACACCCAAGGATAGGATCATTACCACACTTCCGGACCTGCAAACCTCGCCATCGGCCACTGCAGCTGAAACACGCAGGCAAAAGAGGGCGCGCGCTAAGTCAAACCAATGGGGACGGCGGTGGAGGGGTTCAGCCCGGCTTGAAACACGCCAATCCAATGCTAAGCCACTAGTCCGCCTCCGGATGGGGCTCGCAGTCACGTGTGCGACATCCTCCGTCACACGCCGCCCGCCTATCAAACACTCGCGACCGTGGACGATCAACGCCCGCTTGACGTGATTGAATTGGTCCCAGCTAACTATGGTCTCAAATTTTCAACGACCATGGTGGGTGTACGCAATGATGTTCGTTTGAATGCCAAACCTAAGGTCAATCATGGGGTCTTGTTATTCAATGATGTGCATTGCATTGCGTCGTTAATTGCCAGGATCCTATCGGTCAACCACTAGTTTACTACTGTCTACGGCTGACCGAAGACTGCCGCGCTTACGGCTCCTCAAAAATAGAAACGAGCAGCAGCAGAAGCAGCAGCAGCAGCAGGTGCAGTGCTACCCTGTCAGGCCGTCAACCCTCAACAATCTCGCAGCTCGATTTCCCTATCTACTGGCCAATATCCCATGGATATGCACAAACTGTCCTTGCAACTGATGTCACAGATTTATAGACAATTGATGAAACTTGACCCTTCTGGTTCCAATCCCACGTGGCAGCAATGTCTATCTGAGACTATGGGGCCAGGGCTCTCTCTTCTGGTTACTGGTTGGAGCCATAGAACTTGGACCGCCCGTTCGGCATCACGTCGGTGATTGCTGTGGGGAGGGTTTGATTATGAAGTACGTGGGCGAAAATTTCCCCTCGCCAACTAACTCACAATTTAGTCAGTCATCTCTCCTTTTGTCATTATTCTTGACTAATCGGTTGCGCACATAATTCTAGGCAGCATGATAATTACAGAATAAAGTGGAATCGATCGCCTTCAAGCCGGAGCTCCTGGTGACCACGATCTGCTGCCGATGACAGAACTGGCCCTAACCCGAGCAGCTAGACAAGCTAATGTGAAACAGGTCCCTCAGATAGATTGTTTCGAGAGAATAGCCTCGCAGCTTCCGCACTGAATCATTTGACGTTTGGATCCTAATCTTGTTGGAGGAGCTACCCCAACCAACAAGCTCTGTCCAGGTGCTTGCGGAACCAGGTTGGTTGGAGATTTGTGGTGCTGTTTCGTCTCAACCACCTAACAACTACCTCGTGGACGGAAACTACCGAGTCGGTCACTGATCCTGAGCGCTACTTTGTACATGACACATGACAGCATTTCCTGCCGTTGGCACCGGCCTGCACGGGCGAGTCCGCTCCACTGCAGCGTTGCTACCTCATCGGTTAATGCCATGATGTCTTGATAGAGCTATATTGACCGTCGATCTGTTTTGATTCGAGTCCTGATACCCAAGCGAAGTGCCCCAGTTTACACCTGTTCGGATGCAACCGATAAAAGGGCCCCAGCTACTCAAAGTCGAAGAGACAGCAAGTCAATGCGCCGTTCCCTCATATACGTCTCGCACCAGGCTGCGTGGTAGGTAAGCTAACGATTCGTCTTGGTTCGCTTGAAATTGAGACCCTAACACGACCAACTGCTGTAGCACGGTCACCGCACCAATCGTAGATCTAAAGGATTCGGCCGTAGCAACTAGTAAGTAGATAGTCCTGCTCGCTGTTCGGGATCGGATGCCACAGGCTAGAACGCGGTCTATGGCTGGCCCTCATTTAAGGCCAATACGGGGGAAAACCCGGCCCGGATTAATGCGACCGATTTTCTAAACCTGCTCTGGCCCAGTCTCAAAGGGCTGTGGTCACCTGGACTGCTGTCCGAGACGTTAGCGTTCAAGCCGGACGTACAGTACCAAACGCATGCAAACGAGTAGTCACAAGAGTTATTCAGGATCCGATTGATATTATGACTTCCACTGTTAAGCTAGAGCCGGGGGGGAGATGACTATAGTCTGTCTCTGAATGGAACATCTGTTTACGGCTGTTGTCATGAACGATGTACGGTATGATCTATGGTGTAGTGGGTAGAATTCCCTCGATGGTTTGACATAGAGCATTCCTATAATGGCTCGCGAGCCGCGGCTGAAGGCGGCCCTTCAGATAGAAAGAACCATTCTCTATCTTTTTCTATTTCTAAATTCGTGCGCATTTTACTTGCATTTGTGTGTGCGAATGCCAGCGTGACTCGACTATAAGACATCTTTACCGATCAAAACATGAGGATAGCGAGCTTGACAGTGATCCAACCACGGGACGTTGGGAGTGAACCATGGTTCACTCCTTACAATCTATGATGTCTTGCTGGCGAAATTTTCACAGAAGGAAGACAACAAGAAAATTCGAGGTATAGCCCTTCCACACGGACCATGAGGATCATTGCTAAGCGAAGAGCGTAGGGTTGAAACTGGACCGTTGAAGGGGGGAGGGACGAATGTGAATATGCCCAGTCTGAACCCGATTTAGAGATTTGATATCGGAAGGGTTTCAGAATGCAGGGAAAGCCAGCCTCAATCCGATCTGAAAGACTTGAAGGAGGTGATATCACAGATCCGTTGTCGATAGATGTTATTCTCCGGTCTGACGCCTCCTCCGTCTGTCTCCGGCACCCTCTTCTCCTTCTCCCCCCCTCTCTCTTTTACTCCTTCTCCCCACTGACCTCCTGCGATCCCGTCCATAACCAGCTCAAGCAGGTTAGCAGTTACAGAATAGCCCAGCCACCCGCCAGCAACCGTTCCGTCCGCCGTTTTATGTTCGAGTTTTAGTATCGAATTGACCTCCTGTCCACTTTTATTCCCTGGCGTCCCAGGCATTTCCCCTCTTTTCCTTCGCCCTTGGGAGCCTCAAGGCGAGTCAGTTATAATTAGTAGTACGTAGATAGGAGAAGCGAAAGAGAGAAAGATCGCATGGTAGATATTTTTAATTTGCACATCGTAACTAGTATAATAATAATATATGATGTCCACCCTGTAGGTCCACTTCAGTAAACAGATCATATTATTTCCTCTTTCTTTCTTTTTTTTCTTGTCACTCCGTAATTTTGTTTTTCTTTTTTACTTTTTTCGCCTATACGTTTGAGATTAATTTTCCCCAGTGTCAGTTGCCTCGGATCGCCTCAGGATCCCGGGTTCATGACTGGAGGAAACGACCATCCAAGTGATTGATCGAACAATGCGTGTGGATGCCTGACCGGGTGGTGCAGTTGCAGATGTCCCCAGACGCAGCAGGAGCTGGCAATGCAGCCTCTCCTCCTCCCCTCCCCTCTTACTCCTCCTACTCCTCCTCTTCCTCCTCTTTCTCCTCATCCCCAGCAGACCATCGTTTCAACTCTCGACGCCGGCGAAAAACCGAATCCGCGGTGCACCCGCCCATCCATGTATCGCTCGAGGATCCGTCGGCTTCACTCTGTCGCCGTTCGATCGTGAATCGGGCCCGAACCATTACTTTCAGTGCTGGAGCGACGTCAGAGACAAACCCAAATCTGACCGGTTCTTCGTCCCCTCAGCGAGCCTCTCGTCCGGACGCAAGCCCCAGAACTCCACCGGAATCCCAACGGAGCCAGACTCGAGCTCGAGGGCTCACCCCGAGCCTTCGTAGTTCCGCCGTGGCCACCATGATGTTGCGAGCGGACGATCCCCGTGACGCGGGCAAAGCAGCCGCGCTAACAAGCCCATCCGCCGGCGCCAGCGACTCTCCTTCAGCACCGACAACAACAACACCCAGTGCTTCCTTTGCCTCTCCTTCGCCGTCGGCTTCCACCCCCGTTGCGTCGCATCTCCCCTCCTCCTCCTCCTCTTCCTCTTCCGTTCCGCCCGTCCCTCGCCTCCCGCAGAGCCGTTTCAGCTTCGAATATCAGTATCCCCTGCGCAAGCGAGCCCTGACGTCGCACCTCAGCGCGGCCGCCTCTGTGCTGAACGGCGACGACACGCCCCCGGGCCCCGACCCGTCCCCTACTCCCCAGCGCACTTTCTTGTATGACAGCCCCCGGCGCTCCGTCCCCAACTTCCATCTGTCCCACCTTCGCGATCAGGCGCTGCTCAATTCGCAACCACCGTCGCCGCGACGGGCTCTAGAAAAGGATAGCGACGCCGCGCGGCCCCTGGACGCCAACTCGACCGTCCGTGTGTTGAGTCCCAATGCAACGAAGCGTCGAAAGTCGTCCCTTTACGCTGAGCAGTCGATTTCGGACGTGAAGAGCATCATGCCATCATCCACCGTGACATACTCCCAAGGGAGATTGCTTGCTGACGAGCGCAATCGCGCCATGAACGGCCTCGATCGTCAGGGAGACGGTAACAGAACCCCAGTCGCGGACGATTTTCGCTCCAAAAATGAGGATGTATTTTTGAATATCGCAAGATCAGACTCCGACCGTCGTGAGTCGCTGGGGCGCTCAGAACTCCGGCGCGTAAGTAACACCAGACCTGTGATTCCTGTCAATAAATTGGTATCCTGTAGACTGACCAGGCCATTGTAACAAACTTACAGTCGCGATTCAGAATGTCCGGTAGTGCGCTGCGTTCTCCAACTTCTCGGGTCGCCGAACAGACCCCTTCTCCGGAGCAACTTCGCTTGAATACCTACGACAACCCCTTGCATTCCCAAAATGATCCGCCATCCACCCCCCACACCTCTGTACCATCATACTCTTACTCGGCGTCCGCCCATCCGCTGGATGAACATAGTCGTTCATCCTCTTTGGCGTATGCTTCTGGCTCAAGATCTACCATTGGCCTCCCTCGAAGCCGATTGGGTCGCACCAGTCCAGAACCCTCCCCATACAGCCCCGAATCGCACCTCGAAAGACGGGGCTCATTGCACGAGTCGCGAGCATATCGACATTCCGCTCTTTCAACCATCCGAAGCAGTCGGCAACCGTCCAGCTCCGAGGCCACGGAACGCGCCCGATTCGAGCCCGACCGGTCCCGTCAGGATGGAACGGAGTCAACCTTGTCGACTAACGCACCTTCTACTGTCTGGGACGAGTTAGAAGATCTAAAATCGCGGATCAAGAAGCTAGAATTAACTGGCAAGCTTCCGCCCTCATCCCAGGAGGCGATATCATCTGCATCCGGAGACCGACCACGCACTGCGACCACGACGGTTACTACGGTGTCATCCTCACCGAGGCGCGGCCGCAAATCCAGTATAGCAACAGGCGATCTCGACCAGAATGCGGCCCCGAGTCCGGTCCATCCTCTCCTACAATCGGCCTTGACCAAGTCAAAGGAGGTGTTGGGTAACGAAGTCTACGCAGCCCTGGAAGTCACTGTTACTGATGCGCTTGCGCTGTCTACCCTACTGTCATCCAACAAGGCCCCATCGGGTGGTGTTTCCATTGTCAATGGCTACCTTCCATCAGACAGACAAGCTAGGCGCAAGGCTGACAGTGTATGCCGCAGCTTAACTGAGCTGTGTCTCGCACTGTCTGATGATCAGCTTCGCCGGCAGCCGTCCACAGCCCTGGAGGTAAAAGCGGATGAACAACAAATTAATGGCCACGATGACGACGATACGATTACACCTACCCCTCCATTCCGCCGAAGCACAATCCAGGAGCCAGAGAGCCTTTCCAGACGGCAGAGCAACAGCAGAGTCACCAGCCGTTTAGAGGCACGTCGGGCTAGCATGGCGAACAACGCGGCTTCAGACAACCAAAACAACAAGGGCACCGATCAGGGTCCAGATGCCAAACTGACACAGTCGCCTGGATCTTCGGCGCCTGTGAGACGATTGAGCCGACTCTCAACATCGTTGCGGACCAAGAGGGTGCATACCGACGACGATAATGCGCCGGATCAAAGTCCACAACCTCGATCAATTCAAAGAAGCATGACAGACATCACCAACCCAGCAGCAACATATCGTGTCTCGCCCCGGCAACGGATTTCGCATGGATATACGGCGTCGCAATCGATAGCCGACTCCAGTCCTGAGCGAAATGTCAGATATTCAACCCCATCCCAACCGTCGCAGCTCCCTCAACCTCGTACCCCGACACTTTCGCAGTCAGCGATCCCGCTCCGTCGGAGCATATTAACGCCCGGCTATGTCCCCGCAACATCCCGCTCCAACATTCAGGCGGGTTCACGTCGATATGGACTGTCTCCTGGTATTGGCTCTGCCGCTCTCGGTGGTGAGATGCCAATCGAGGACGCCATGTCCACTACCCCTCGCCAGGAGCCTTCGCAGACAAGAATCATCGCCCCATCGCAAAAGCTGGCTGCTAGCTACACACCGATTGCGCAGAACCGCCTGCGCGCGAATAGCCTTGGAGCGCGACGATTTGGTCTTCGGCAGCGGCCGATGGCCGTTTCTGATGAGGCCGTCAATGGTCTCGATCAGCGCGTTGACTAAATGTTTGCGTCCGTTATCTCCAAAAAACTCCACGTCGTTTACGCCCTCCACCTACCTTATAACGCAGCGACTCAATCTTGGTATTATTTTCAGTTCAGCCGGCGTTACTTTGTTTTCATTGTATTCCGCGGCCTGCCAGGCACACATTATGTCGAGGTGTACGAAGCGCTTTCCGCCTGCATCTTTAACGAGGACTTCCGATTCAAGACCTGATTGACTGACTGACCCTTGCAAAAACAAACCAAAACACATGCATGCATTCTTGAACTCAATGCATTGTACGAGCTTATCATTCCGTTCAAGCGACCCTCACGGACCATTGTGTTTCTATTTTTTTTTCCCTACATATCCATACAAATTCTTGTTTGCTGCCCAAGTCAACCCCAAAAGAGGGTATGACTACGACACGGCACAAGCTCAATAAGTAACGGGATTCACGATCTGTTTGTCTTGTCATCACCCTATTCTTTTCTCACTGTCATTGATACTCGTTCATCTTTCCTACCATTTTATCTATTCATGTACAAATATTCGGCTTTGCGGTGATGACACGCGTTAATATCTTTTCCTATTTCTCCCGAATGATGAACGGAGTGTTGTTGGACCTGGTGCTTCGGTGGTATTATTTGTCTTGTCTTCTTTCCTATACATACGTACACATCCTTTCATTGTCTCTCATTGCTATCTGTTCATTTTTCCTTCTTTTTGATCTCATAGAAGGGGTATGTTATTCCTACGATTTTTCTTGTTTCTTATTTTACTTTCCTTCTGTTCCTGTCAATACATGATGAATACGACCTCATTTTGGCATCTCTTGCTTCCCCAATACTGCGTAGCCTGCCACAAGTAAACCGTAGATAACCCAGGTAGCTGATTAGTAGTATATTCAGAGAACCCCTTCTATACAGTTCGTATTATCACTACATAGTTGGTACATAGTAGTAAGTGTTTCGTGTTTTCGATTGAACCAATCCGAATTACTACTACTACTACCATTACCACTAAGTACTTAGTAAAGAATAAATATCCATGCTCTGTAGTATTATGCATATCTATCAGTTCATCCATCCATCCATCCATCCATCCATACTGATACTAATTATGGCACACAACCCATGCCGGACAATTTCCTGTAGATCGATCGATCGACTATTAACTAGTTACTACCTAGGTAGGTTAGTTAGGTACTAAAAACTACTTACTACGTACTGTAAGTTACTAGTTAGTTTCAATCAGTCAGCCAGTCAACTGATGATCGACGGACGGGCTTCGGTCATTTTTGGTTCGGTTCGTCTGAGGTCAGGTCAGATGATCATGTGGTTTCATTTTCTTCTTCAAGTTTCTGCAACGTAACTGGGATCAGATGATCGTCGGGAGGGTGTGGTGGTCAGGTGACTGATCTTGCTTATTCTGTGGGATGACGTTATGTGTCTGTTCTTAGTTACTGGGAGAGTGAAGAGGGGATTTTCGTTGATAGCACTGATAGGTAAGAGTGATAAATCTACGTCTACTGCTCAGTGGCATACAGGCATAAAGAATGGTCATGTTCCATCACACTAGGTTTTCATTTCATTTTGTAGTATCGATAGTCCTGGTCCCTGATTGTACATGCCTGAGAAGCCCGGAGATGAAATTTGAAAGGGACCCTTGCAGATAATAAGGGAAAAACACAGCTGGGTAGCCCCTCCTGGGTTTAGATGTTTCATGTGACAGGTAAGTGAGGATAGTTGCTCGACAAGAAAAGAAGAGAGGATCAGTGGAACGGAACAAAGGCAGTGCGAGTAGGGGGACGGTGTGGAAAAGATTGCGAGTTGTGTGAGGGGGGCGGATCCCAGTTTCATTGTAGGTTTGAGGTTTCGGATAATAAGGAAGAGAGCAACTTTTCAATCAACGGTGATGGAAAGGCAAGACTAGGTAGGATACGGAACGAAACGGGCGGGAAAGAAGGGAGAAGTCAGGAACATCAGTGGGAGGACATGATGTCGTTGGTTCCGAGTGCGGTTCATTCAAGGAGATAGTACTGGTATCTAACAGGCATGCATGGTCCGCCTCAGCAGGCTCTGGCTTCTTGCAAAGCCCAAGAAGCTCCACATACGAGAGGAATTATAGAGTAACAGAGAATATGATAGTATGAGAAAACGACAGCATCAAGAATCAAAAAGGAGTAGCACAAGAGGGGGCAGTGGTTATCGCGCGACTAGAGTTTTTCGGGAAGAATGTTCATCGAGGGTCGAGCGGGTGAAGAGAGGGCGAAGCTGTGCTGGTCGTTTACTCCTGAAGCTGGCTGCGGCGGGTCTTCTCAGCCTCGAGGTTCTCGTACAGAAGGTAAAGAGCCTTCTCGTTGGCCTGAGCGCTACCCATGATGGTGAACATGCGTTCGCCCGTCTCGTCATGGGGAGCCTTGGCGATGGAGATCCGGGCTCCAGAGCTCCTGCGGATCTCGGTGATCTTGCTACCACCTCTGCCAATGATGCAGCCAACCATGTCAGCGGGGATGCTGATGTTCTGTGTTTGGATTTCCTCGCCATCTTCGGTGACAAGCGGGTAACCACGGTTGCTGGTGTCGGGGTTGGATCGCCTGCCGTAGCCACCGGACTGGTCGCTGAAGTCGGCACCGTTACCGGTGCGGTTGTAAGGACGGCTGTTGTAGCCATTGCCGACGCTCTGGTTCATGGTGCTGGTGCTAGGGGTAGTTCCAACAGACGCACGGACGGCGGGGTTGTACAGGATAGTACCGGTACCGCGCTGCCAGTCGTCAATCAGGCACTTTCCGATCTCCCAGACGGCCTTCTCGATACCCTCGGGGGTACCCTGCACTTCGACGATACGCTCGGTCGACTGGGGGAGCATTTCCTTCTGCGCGACCATGCGCACGCCCGACGCATCCTGGATGTGCTTGATCTTGAGACCTTGGCGTCCGATGATGGTACCCATCTGGTTGTGAGAGATCAAAAGCCGAACGGCTACACAAGAGTCAGCTTCATGTAACTAGCAAGCAGTCGTTTAGTAGAAAAACTTGGATGACTTACGGTGAGTTCCATTGTTGGACACAATGCCACCCATGCCCATCTGAGGGGCGCCCTCGAGCAAACCCTTGGCAACCAAAGCATAGGCTCTGGCAGTGCCGTTCAGAGGACCAGTGACGGTCAAGACGCGGTCGTGAACACCAGGAACAACCTTGCTCACACCAGCCTTGACGCCGGTTTCGTCCCGCAGGTCAGCAACGTTCTTGCCAGACTTGCCGATGATGATGCCGGCTTCCTTGGACGAAACGATGGCGCGAAGAGTCAGCATAGACTGAGCGTACTCTTCCTCGGTCTTGGGCGTCGTCTCAATGTCGACATCGTCAATCATGTCGACGTTGTTCGGGGAGGTCTCGTCGACCATGGTGGTATCGTGCAACTCGGTAGGGTCCATTATGTCGGTAAAAAGAGGAATGGTGAGGTTTGGGCGATAGAAAAAAATCTGGGGATAGAAAAGGTAAGGTTTTTCGTTGACGGAGCTTTTCCCACGAATTAGTGTTGGCACACGGGAGGGGAGTGATGATTTTCGCGAGATGTCACGGTAAAGGGATAACACAAGCAAAGAGGCAAATGAGGTGGCGCGCAGGATTGGAGCGGAGAACATGAGGCTCTTACCTAAAGTCGTAAAGTGAAGCAGAAAGACGATGGAAATCCGAAGAGATGAAGATTAATCTGCGAAATCCGGGAAGGGAAGCAGGAAGTCGATTGGGTGGCCGGAGAGGGGGCGAAGAGGATGGGATTCAGAGGGGTTTTCGGCGGGCGGGGGAAAAGGTGGAGGGATCTGAGAGATGGGGAGGCGGAAGGAAGAAGGGAAGGAGAAAAGAGGAGGAAGAGGTGGAGGGAGGAAGAAGAGGAGGAAAGGAGGATGGAAGAATGGGAGAGGAAGAAGAGGGAGAAAGAAGCAGAGGGAAATGAGGAGGGAGGGAGGAGGGAGAGATGGGAAGCGGAGAGGAAGTGGTGGGAAGCGAGCAAAGAAGGAAAAGGTGGAAGAAGGAAAAGAGGAGGAAGAAGAGGAAGAGAAGAGGAAGAGTGGAAGAGGAGCGAAAGAAAGCAGTCACTCAGTCAGTCAGTCGGTGCTGATGCGACACCTTCGGGCTTAGTTTCGTTTTTCGGTTCACTCGTGCGGAAATCAATCAACAAGGGCTATGCCTGCTGTCTTTTCATGTCCGCCACGCTGCTGGCTCGCGCGAATCCAGATTCATCATTCATGCTGTGTGTGATCTATCTATTTTACTTCTACTCCAGGAAAATTCCCCAATTGGTCTTCTCGTCGCGTTGCCTGGGATGCTGGTGCTGTACTGCTGTGGCTGACGCTCGCCTGGTATCCTTGATTACTACCACCACATAATAATTAATGGACATTTTTGACCAGACTGCATGTCATGTAAAGAATTCAAGCGCTTCTTATCTTCATTGGTCTAGCGAGATGCCATTCTTATTCTATTTGTCCGCCTCGAAAATCACCTTTTGCACCTTCATGGCGTTAAAAATCTCATACGCCTCAACCGCCTGCGACAGGGGCATGATCTTGTCGGCCATGAAGCTATTACCACGCATTCGTCAGCATTTGCAAACACCAAAAAAACCACAGAATCAATAATATGAAAGAGTGACATACCCAAGACGATGCTGATTCTTCTTCAGAACTTCCAACGCCTCTTCCGAAACGGACCGCACAGGGCACCGGCCCATCTGGACCGTGAGGTTCTTTCCATAGGCCTCACATCCATTCCACGGGATCTAAAAATGTCCTCGATCAATATACAGACCTCACAAAGGACTCGAAACATCACTCACCTCTCCATTGTGCACACCAACACTGCTAATGGTTCCGAACGGCCGCAGCAGATCATAACCGGTCTTCAGCGCCGGACTCAATCCCACCACCTCAATGACAGCATCAGCACCACGTCCCTCCGTCAACTCCAGGACGCGCTTGTCGAGGCCTTCCCGGTCAGTCAGGAAGTTCCAGGGCTCAGCTCCCAGCTCCCTGGCAAGTTCCAGACGCGCAGGGACGGAGTCAACCGCCAGTAAATGCTTAGGCTTGTACTCCAGCGCATTGATCAACGCACAGAGTCCGACTGGCCCGCAGCCGATGAGGACAACCGTCTGCTCTGCGATTTGCTCCTTAGTAGAGGTCTTGAATGCATTCCGCGCGGCGAAGTAGCCAGTCGGGAAGATATCCGCCATGAGGACGAGGTACTTCTCGTCGACGCCCTCAGGGGCTTTGACCACCGATCCATCCGCATTGGGGATTCTAATCTGAGCGCAGGTTCCATTACCGTTAGACACATGCTCCGGGCATCATGGCGTACGTTGAGATAAGATAGACTTACATATTCGGCCTGAGCACCATCCAGATGGTCACAACCCAGAAGCATGTTCTGTTCGCAACGGGACGAGTATCCTTGTTTGCAGTAGTAGCACTTCCCGCTATAAGAGGCAGCATGCATGCATTAGTATAAACGCCTGCAGCGATCATCAAACCAAATCCCACCTGCAGAGGGGGAAAGGACAAAGACAAGATTAAATCACCTACCAGGATGTCGTAAAAGCACTCACGACCTTATCCCCCTTCTGGACAGACTGCACAGCATCGCCCGTCTCGACAACCACACCAGTAACTTCATGGCCCATCACATAGCCCGTCCCCGAGGGCTCTATGCCACGGTACACATGAAGGTCACTACAAAATACCAATCAGCCTCACCCCTCTATCAAAAACCTAACTAAAAAGGAGGGAACAAACCTCCCACAAAGCGCCGTATAAGTAACCTTAACCAAAATATCCCCCGCATCCTGAATCCGAGGCACGGGGCGCTCCTCAACAGCGACCTTATAAGGGCCGCGGAAGACCACCGCGCGCATAGTGTTTTCCGCAGACATGATCAATTATCTTCTCCGAGAGCTGAGGAATCCAATTTTTGAAAGATGAAAGAAACAAGTTGTGTATTGTCCAAAGCTGAGTCTTTATTAAACAGAGAAGAAGAAAAAAAAAAAAGAAAAAGAAAAGGAAAATTCTCAGAATTCACGCATCCGATAAACGGACACACCCCGCCAGATTATTACACTTATTTTCCCGCCCCTCAGTCCCATGAGAAAGGAAAATGAAAGGTCGGAGGCGTTGGTGGGTCCATTCCCTTCGCCTTCGGAGTTGTGAGCGACCGCGGATGGCGGCGAACTGGGCTGCTGGTATGGTGAAGAGAGAGGGTGTTGAGTATGTATAGGATGGAATCGTGATCATTGTATATTCATGTAGTAAGTAGATAGGTAATCTAGTAGTATAAGGTAGTAGTAGAGCAAAAGAAGATGATTAGTGGGGGATGAGACAGGTACTTAGTAGTAGTTGTTTGACGGCCGGGGTCCCCGCGGATTTAAGTACTCATGATATAGTGATAGTAGCAGTGTTTGGATTTCACCGGGGTCCTTACTTGACTTGAGGTGAGGGATTTTGGATCATTAGTGCCTAGTGGAATTTGTTTGCTACATATAGTTTTCAAGAAGTCCCTGTAGTAGGAATTCTGTGTGAACGTTGGAGAGATGATATGGTTACATTTCGTGACTATTCTACAGTCGGACCAATTTTCCGGTTCCTATGTCCGTCATTCAACCTCTGCATAATTTGCCATGCAATTTATCAGTCTAACATCTATTTGATTCGTCTGTAAGATCAGTAATAGGCACTGTTCTTGTACGGTGTGCTCCAAGCGATGCTCGGATTTCTCGCCGAGAATGTCCCCACTTCGCGACCAGAGTTGGGGACATGGGCATTAGCGGTTCAGGTCACAGTAAGTACCATTTATAAAGCTATCGGCAAGAAGGATCAGCATGAGCAAAGATTCATTCAAGGGGTGTTCTGGAAAGCTGGGCTTCTGCTATGCATTGAAATCAGGTCCACCGATTGCTCCAGTTCTGCGGTGAACTCCTTGCGCATCAAGGAAGTGGTACTCCATCCAACGCCATACACATTGCGCCACGACAAATATAACAAAGAAAACGCTCACTATAAGTATCAGCCCTTCGCAGGTCTAGTCTGTAGACCTTCGCCCAGGTGTCTTGCATGTGAAACCAGCATGCTACGTCATCAATATCCCTGGAAAGAAGATGGACACCCCGGCATGCATCAAGGCACCTAGCACACCACGCACAGCAATTCTTCTTCCAGTATAAATTTCCCCTCTTTATATTTCTCACTGGCCTCGTATGCTTTGTCATACTTCCAGCCCACCGTCTCCTTGCACTGCCTGCAGTGAATATCACGGACGATATGCCTTCCGGTGGTCATGCTACGCTCCACCGCTTCAGACGAGGTGATGTTGACGACATTGCCGAAGAGGTATGCTTTGCCATGCTGGCCGCGGAAATTCTGGATGATGGCGAAGATATATGGTTAGTAAGTGTTGGGAATATGTCATAGCAGAATCACAACTCACCCGGCTTATGATATCGTCGTAGTCAGCGAGATGAGTTTTGCATTGCTTACACCCGAAGATTTTGTTTGAAGTAAGATAGATGTTGTATGCCAGACCCATTGTGTCCTGATCGTGCTTGTCTTCCCAAAGCCACCTGAACAGGAGATGCCCTGAAACGTGAACTTCGAATACACCAGAGGATGGAGGTGTCCAGATCACGAGAGCCCGACGCTTTATAGGAGTAGAGAGGGGCAGAAAGAATGCAAGGCGTGCTCAAAGTCCTGCTGTGGCTTCGCTTTCTTTGCAAGAGGGGCTGAAGTTGCTCGTACGGTAGTTCTCCAAAAAATGGGGACCCTGTGACGGATAATGGAGGTTGCCTTGACAGGTAGAAGTTAGTGCTGGGATTTCGAACCCCAATATAATATAGCCTTCCGGTGAACTGCACTTGAGCTCAAGGGGAATGGGAGGTATTCGAGGGGGTGGTGACAAGCAGCTGCGGCTCGTCTTTGTCGGGAATAAGCGGAGATGGGACTAGGACAAATGAGGAGACGGCAGGTCAGCCACTGCCAGGTGGTGATAATGATGCGGGAAGGGTCGACAGAGTGGAATAGAAACCGAAGGAAAAGGTTAGACTATTCAGAGTAAGAATATAGGTAGGAGTGAGCTGATTGGGGGGGAGGAATGGTGTGGCACAGGAAATGGCTGAGCAGCGAGATGGAAGGAGGTGAGTTGGAGGTGGTAATCGGGCAGCTGCTCCCGGAGCTGGGAACCCCCGCATCGGACCAGGATTAAAGGGAGCCAGGCCCCATGACGCCCGCTACATTTCCCTTTAGGATCATACTCTCCACCCGCTAGAGTAAGCTTGGCTAGTTCCAAAGTCTCTTCGGTCTCTCGTTTCTTTTCATCTTCATCCCCTGCTGTTGTTGCCGTGGCTAGCATAGTCCTGGTGAATTTCGTCAGACTACTTTATCTCCATACCCATTCCTTATCGCGGTTATCACCGACCCGCCTGGTTGAGCCGATAATGGCAGCCTACTTACTGACCGTAGTATACCGTCTCTGCCGTACGCAGTGAGAGAATATGACCTGTTTAGTGACACTTGGAATCCACGCTAGATTCACCTAGATGCACCTGATGTGATAGTCGGAATTCTTGGCAACCCTAGTCTGGCTATAGTTTTAGTAAAGTTGACGAGTTCAAAACAGGGCTGAAATTCTACCTGTTTGCACGGTACATTCACATCAAATGTGAAGTATAGTACCACTTAACAGAACAGAGTACTAGTCACTTCCACGATGCAGTATAGCAATATTAACCCTCTGTCAGTCAATATACTGCAAGTAGCACGCTGGTGAGGCTTGTCTATTGGCCTCGATTCCAGATAATTCAACGCGTCAGCTTTGCCCCTCTTTCCCCTTATATATTCTCCGACGTCCACATTTGTGATGCCTCATGTTTTCTGTGTCTGGAGAAATCCATCGATATCTATCATGGATTTATGATAAAGAGGTCATATTGGTCGTTTATGCGCTTGAAACCTTCTGCTACCTGCTTGATAGCTGTCTTCTGATGTCAAAACTAACCGTGCATCCCCGTGTCAAAGTTGCTCCGGGAAATGTTTCATCACGATACACTTGATTCTATCTACTTAGTATCCTATGGCTAGAATACTTATGTTCAGAAGATCCCTTGTCCCAGTATTTACAGCAGAAGTCCAACATCTGGCAAATGACCCAGTCATTTCCAGCACAACGACACCGGTCCCTCCAATGGTAGCAGCAGCCTCCGTACTTTTGAAGGAGTCCATCCGTGTAGCTACTATTAGCCTTGGCCAAGAACTGCGTTTGGCTCAACACCGGAGGTATAAGTGGCCCATCATGGCAGCTGACGTTTGTGCGGCTGATTGCGCGTACGAAGTCCTGTCTACCTTTGTCCGAGTAGACCCCTGTTTCTCTCCCAGAAATGCCTGCAGTCGGTGTGACCCCAGTGCTCCGTCCACCATTCCCCGAAACTATCCTCGACTTGGTCGTCAACTTTGGGCAGCCTTTCATCTCGTTTGAGGCCACATAGAGCACAAGCGTGAGGCGCCTTCAAAGCCCCCTGACTAGCAGGAAGTGTCGTTACCCGAGTATTCTCCTGTATGACCTGAACTGGTTGTCGTTTGGTGGCTTGAACAACGGAGTTGAAGATTGCGGTCCGGTCGCGCCACATGGAAAGTACATCAACAGCTTGTTGCTTTTCTTTGATATCTTCATTCTTGTTCACTGTGTTGAGCTTCATACCTCCCGACTTCCCTGAACGAGCCGGGCCAATCCTCATGCTCTGACTCAGTATGGAGTCCCGCTTCCACCGTAGGCTTCGGCCGGCAACAACCCGCGCGGCGGTTTTTAGAGTGTAGATGATCAGAGTTGCAGTGTTCTCAAGTTGTTCCTTTTGTTGCATTTCCTTTCTTGCTTTGGTGGCATCTTGCCGAAGTTCATCCAGTAACCGAGGAAATAGCTCAAGCAAAACAGATGGCGGAGGTATATTGGTCGGACGAACTTGATCGGCTGTTGTAGGATGACTAGATGTTGGGAAAGAGCTTGTTGTTTTCGATGGACCAACCGTAGAGTTCGGAGGCTGCACTTCCTTGCGAGGCGCCCGGGTTACTGAGGCTGTAGCACCTGAGGTGCCTGTTTGACTGGGAACTGTAGGCGGACCGTCAACAAAGTCGCCCCAATCCTCAAAAGGGTCTTCCTGGGTAGAAAGAGCCGGTTTGAGACTTGGCAATTCCTTTTTGCGTGCTTCAGGTACCATCCGTTTCGCAGCGGGCTTTCGCTTAGAGGATGGTGGTATATCATCACTTAATGACAATGAATCTAATAAGTTGGAAGGCGCCGGCTGTTTCGCAACTGGCGTGGGCTTAGGTTCCTTCATGACCTTGTGAGACTGTAACCCGGCATTTGCTGGTGGTTTAGTAGCAGGCACGTCCGCACTCTCGAATTCGCCCCAGTCATCGCTTTCATCATCTGGAACACTTTCAAGGGTGGCGTCAAATAAGACATCATTTCCGGGTCCGTAATGGGTCAGCCCTGATGTACTAGGCGCCGCGAAAGCTGAGTCGTCCCAGCTGTCGTCGAATTGAGGCGATTTCGTTGCATTTCTGTTCGGGATGGATGAAGGACCGGTGAAAGATTCTTCAAATGCATCCAAGTCAGGGATTAAAGAGGTCGACTGGAACCCGGCGGACTGCTGGCTTGAACCTCTCTGGGATGGAGGGGGAGCAGCCCCCATACCGAACTCCGCAAAGAGATCTGCAGACATAATGTTGTATATGATAGTAGTGAGAGACTATATAATTATATTGACGGGAGATAAGGCGGATGCACAGTAGTAGTAATAGGAGATTTGCGACTTGAAGAACGAGAACACGTCTAACAATAAGTGTGTCGCAAAGGTCGAGGAGCAAATGAAAGCAACGCCTTGAACTTCCTTCAGGCTCTGGTATATCCAAAGCGATGAGCGCCTCCAACCCCAAACTAGTAGACAACTCCCCGGCGGACAGATAGAGAAAGCGTGACCGGAAGTGTGGCTGCTGAGCCAGGGAAGTTCCAAGGCGGTCCACTAGCAGCTCCTCCACACGATCGCCGCTAGTACTTAAATTGCGGGCGGCACCGTGTTTCTGTCCCCTCACTCCTCCAAGCGCTAGCCAAACACGAGGCAGGCAACTCATTCCGGCAAGCAGCCATTTGGTGAAATGAGGGGCATTGAGGAGACAAGGTATATCCATGCATCAGTCCCCCATCTGCAGCACAGATGCAGCTAACTTATCGGCCAGGCAACGATGGAATACCTTCTTTCGCAACAACAACCACCCCGCCGATATCCGGACTGCCCTTCGGTCGGAACAAGGAGATAAATTGTGCGAGGATGGATTGAGGTCTATTTGCTGGAAGGCATGCGCTTGTGGCCATTATGATCTGGTCATCGTGCTTACCTGAGCGTAGGCGTTTCTGCTTTTCGATGATCTCGACCGAGCGCAATGGCCACAGAAGATCGCCGATTCGCGAAGTGTTTATGTCGCCCTGAAAGCCCATTTCTTGAAATACATCGAACATCCAGACGACCTGCAGTCGACAGTTGATCCGCTGGCGGATGATGAAGCGGTATGTAAACTCTGGCTACGCTGTCTTTGGCGGAAAATGACCGGCTGATGAGAGGTCTTTGTAAAGTCACCATGGCAAACGTTACGTGATGACGAGCAGTCGAGGGCGGATATCGCCCAGGACGTCGACCGATGTTTACAGGAAAACTTCTTCTTTCGCGAGCCCTCCACCAAGTCTAAAATGATCGACATCTTGTTCATCTACTCAAAACTGAATCCCGACTTGGGCTATCGTCAAGGCATGCATGAGATTCTGGCTCCACTCCTTTGGGTCATTGATAGAGATGCCATCGAGCCAAAGTCACTGCAAGAGTCTAGCACCAAAGAAGCTGATGATGACCTGATGCATACTCTTCTCCATGCCGATTATGTGGAGCACGACTCTTTTACATTATTTTGCTCGGTTATGCAGAATGTTCGCGTGTATTATGAGCATAATAGACACCGGTCAGAGAATGGCCAGGCGGATGTGATACCGATCGTTCACCAATGCCACCGCATTCATAATGATTTGTTGGTAACCGCGGATTTGGAGCTGGCGGATCATCTGCAAGCCCTTGAAATCTTACCGCAGATATTCCTCACGTAAGTACAACTTGCTAGGCAACTCTCCGATTGCGATGCTAATCTTCAAAAGGCGTTGGATGCGTCTACTGTTTGGTCGAGAGTTCGCTTTCCAAGATGTTCTTCTCATTTGGGATCGCCTTTTTGCAGAAGGGTTACGACCCGAACTCATAGACTTTGTGTGTGTCGCCATGCTGCTACGAATCCGGTGGCAACGTGAGTTACATTTGCTATGCAGACTGTTTGCTACAAGTTGCTGAGTTGATCTAGTGTTGCGCGCCGATTCCTCGAGTGCTTTGGGTCTTTTGCTTCGGTATCCTTCCCCTCAACCACACGAACCTCTAAGCTTCGTGCATGATGCGATATACCTGGAGCAAAACCCCACTCCTGATCGAGGAGTATTCATCATTTCCAAGTATTCTGGAAGACCGCCGGATCCCACCAAAGGACTTGGGCAACCAAATCCAAAGCATATGAACAGCAAGAAGTTCCGCCTGCGGAGCGTCTCAAGAGATCTAAGCGAAAGCAGTTCCCCGTCCAGGTCACCTGCAAGGAATAGCCCCAAGAGTCTGGAGACGCTCTTCCAAGACGTTTCTGAGGGCATACAGCGTCGAACAGAGGCGTGGGGTGTAGCCAAGGCTGTCCGGGGAGCGGTGAGTGAAGCCAAGAGAAACATGCAATCTATTCAGTCAGAGCACTACCCCCGGACTGCACGGCATGAACCGTCCAGCTCGACTGTAGGCATGCCGTGGGACCATGGCACCGACATTGCAGTCCAATGGAAGACGAAGGTTGAACAACTGGAGGAACGAAACAGGAAACTTGCCAAAAATCTCGGCAATGCCTTGAATGACATGCGGAGCCACTTGATGAGAGCAGAAGGCATCGATAAGAAGACCACAGACGCCTTGAAGAAGGCGCTCACCCAAGTTCAGTCAGTCCAGAGCTGTCTTGAAGACTCTTCCATCCCTCCCGGTACCGTGGAGCAGGGTCCCAACGAAAGTGGTGAGGGAGACCAGGAATCGCTGTCTGACGCCTCTAAACCCGCGAGTGAGCAAGCTGAGACTGTGCTCGACAAAGCAAGTGACGCCTCGTCAGCGGCGCGCAAACCTAGTGTGTCTGCGAAGTCATCACGGTCGTCCGTTGAATGCGAAACGAAAACCCGTAGAGCTTCGAGCAATGGCCAGATTCCCTCATCCATGCCACTTCGACATGCCGTACGTCCATCACTGGCAGATTCGGAGTTTTCGTGGATGCTCGGGGGCGGGCGACAGTTTTCGAGTTTCGTTAGCCCGGCATCCGTGCCGCCCGAACAGACCCGACATGGAGAAATGCGAGCCAAACCGAGTACTCTATTTGGCAACGGTGACGAGGAGCATGGAAGGCCTGACGCTGAGGCTGACGGATTGGCGCTGCGCAGTCTTCGGGGACCCAAAGCTCGTGAATAGTCCGGATGCGCTTTCTGTGCGGCTCAATATATATTTCCTCGAAGTCAGCCTCCGGCATTCTTGTTGATCCGTTATACCCATCGTCGTTGTTGAGGCGACGGCATCGGACTACAGATTTTGCTTATTTCTTTTGCATAGTGGCTTGACAGGCCGCAAATGTATTATCCGGTCCGGTTGATCATAGCGTCCGTCTCAAACTTTTTTTTTCCTGTTTATCTTCACCCTAGAAACTCGGGTAGGGATTTTACCACTGCAAGAGACTATTATGACTGTACGAAGGAAATGAGGATAAAGTGGGAATAGCAGACCGGACGGGAGCCTGGAGCTAGCCCGACTATTGTAGGCAACAAGGAATTCAAGTGCCTAAGCAGGAACCTGACTTGCGTAAGTTGTCGACGAAAACTTCGGTACTGGGGCCCTTTGATCGCATGGATCTCCCATGGAAGCAACGCGGCCCTCCACATGCCAGCGTGACTGGCAGACGTTCTAAGGTTCCAAACAGTGTCTTTACTGTGCAGCCACGGCGAACGCCAATTGGTCTGGAACCCGCCGGTGAGCTTAGTGCGGACGTGTACAATTGATCGTCGGGGCCTTCTGTCTGATCACTAATGGAAGTCGAAGGTCGGTAGTTCCCTGTGCGGTTTGCCCCAATCAAGTCAAATGCATCATTCGGTGCTTGCGACGATCTACAACCGCAACGGGGGCTGGCTGATCGAGTTACTTTGGGCCGCCAAGATGGCGAGCAAAAAGTTGAATCATCCACTTTCTGTCGGGGAGGTAAAAAGTAGTACGTACAGTAGTTAGGCTAGGAGGGGGAGGGGAAATTCGTTCGAACAGGAAATGATCGGAAGAATAATAATACGTCGAAATAGTCCAGAAGCATGTTTTTCGAAGTTAGCAGAATGGATCGAACCATATGAAAGTATACTAACTGATCGGTTTCGTCCGTAGGCCGTCGGGAATTACATCACCACCATGCATGGGTTGGGTGGTTCCATTGGGAGAAATGGCTTGGAAGCCGTAGTAGTAGTAGTAGTAGTTAGTAGTCTAGGTAATCTAGTTGACGGAAGGTGTTAGACTCAAGCAAGTTAGGAACTCAAGTAGTATCTCCGATGGGGGCGATTTTTTGGAAGGGGATTGATGGACTGCATTAGTGACTCCATAGTTTGTGGTTGTTGTCAATGGCTCGCATGGATCCAGGATGGGTATTGAAGTGGGAGGGGGGAAGAGGGCCCTTCTTGCATGCTTTACTCTCTCTCTCTCCCCTTTCCCTTCGACTTCCCCGACCGTGCCGGACCACCGATATTGTCTTGACCTTGAACTAACATATTTAAAAGAAAGAAAAAGAAAAGTTATTGACGGGTTGGCAGGCTGGCTGACTTTCAACGCTAGCTTGAACTTCTCGACAGACTTTACATACTCCCGTTTGAGTCCGATCTACCATCACTACTACCATTATTACTTCTTTTGTTCTTTCCCTGACAGCTCCCCTCCTCGTGCGTGGAGCTGCCAAATAAGACCCAAATACCCAACCTAGGTACTTACTAGACAGTCCATTAGACAAGACTACTAAAAGGGAGCAAGAGAAAGGATCATCTGAAACCTCATTTCCGCTGGTTCTTCTTCTAGTCTTACGTCCGCGGGATAACCAGAACGTCATTCATTCCCCCCCCCCCTCCTCCTCCCTCCGCTGCGAAAGAAACATCGTCAAGTTAACATCTTCATCATCTTTCCCTACTTACTACGGTCTCCACTATTTACCCACCCCAACTTACTCGCTTCTACCAAATTTTTTCCCTTTCCTTCCCCTACAACCGCATCCCTTTCTCTAGAGGATCGGATCCTCCTCTCACGGGTCTCCCCCAGTACTGGAGAGGCCATTACAACTTCCCCCTCTTCCTTGGCCAGTCTTTGGCCACTTTTTTGTCGGTTCGAAGGCCCGGCGCCGACCTTACCTCCTTACCCTTCTACCACCCGCCACTGCAACATCTGCTTCATCTGCAGGCCATTGGGCCTCCCTGTGACTAATTCCCACCAACAAGAGACTCCCTTACTACTTAGGCTTTCTCCAGCTACCTTGTTCCTCTTCCCCCGCGTGCTACGCCTCCCTCGCAACTGTATGGTACCTGTGACCTCACGAAACAGCT